TGCAATAAAGCCTAGAGGAACAGTACAGAATTGCAGGAGAAGGTATGGACAACTGGGCTTTAATGCAGAGAGAATGTGATCAATGGCACTTATTGCGCCACGTGGATTGCTGCCTACCAGTGACTTTCTAATTATGAAGCTGTACAATATCTTTTAGCTGTTCCTTTCACTGCCAATATTGGGTGAGTTGTGATTCAAAATAGCCAAGAGGAAGTCCAATTTTTTGGGAGAGGAAAGGGGTACACCAAAGGTGTATCCTAAATGTACATCACATGTTTCTTTACTATTTATTTTTATTTAATTTTTATTTATTTTATTTTTTTGAATTTTACATGCAAATTTTTTTGATTATGGAGCGGGTGGGTTACACCACTTTGACATTATGATTTTCACATACACACAAATAACAACTGTTTGGGTTCCACAATTCACAATCACTCGTTGTATCTGTGAGAAGCATGGTGTGGAAAAAATAATTATGGTTGGTATACACCTCCTTTCTGTGCACGAAAGTTACATCACTCACTTTTTTGACTTTACATACTCCGTATATAGTTATATACAAGGGGAATTTATCTGTATAGTACTAAAATATAGTGATTTTCCAAAGCAGTACCATATGTCTTAATTTCTAGATGTAATACTAGTGCTCAATGGCCACTAGACATAATTCAAGTAAATATCCACCGTCATTGACATTGTTCAAAGTAAATGTCCACCATTAATGGACATTATTCAAGTACTATTTAGGAAATAAAAAGTTTTAAGTAATACATTAGAAAAAGACATGTTTTAGTACGGAGTACTATTTGGTGTAAATTTCACAACATACAAAATCTGTCTATGAAGTAGAAAAATGATGTAACTTTGGCGCATTATATTTCATCCAAGTAACATCAGTCTTAACTTTTTTTTTCACTTTACAAACAAGATTTGTCGGTGTATCCAAAAAGATAAATCTTGCTCGCGAAGCACATACAAACATTTGCAAATCTACGTGCACGGGAAACCATATTTATCTTTACATTGTCGTTGCGAGGAGTCGAATTAGAGGAGTCTTTGTTGTTGGGGGTGGGTGGTGTGAGTTGTGATCCAAGTTGGGGTCAGGCTGTTTATTTACAGTACTACGGAGTATCATTTTCAAGTACCCTGCGGCAGAGTGTACAATGTATATATACACAAATAAAAAAATAAGAGGGAAAATGAATAGGTTAGATTTGGGTTAGAATTAAGCCGGGAATCTAGAAGCATTGCCAAATCCAGATTCGGGTACAGGGAANAACTATATACTCCGTAGTAAATAAATTTGACAATATACTTTAAAAAAAAATATATTTTTTTTTAACAATATACTTTTGTCAAAAGTATATAGATTAGATTTGAAAATATATTTTTCAAAAAAAAAAAATTATTCCCGTTCTTGAGTATTTGTTCATTTTTAACTTTATTTGGTTAAAATCGGTAAACTTTGACAACAAATTAAACAAAAGTGGTATTAGATATTGATACAAAAATAATTTTATAAGATACATTTTATAAAATATTTTCAAAATATTATTTTATCTAATTAATATAGAATATATATTTTATTTATTTATAGGTCAAAGGTTGAAAACGATTAACTACAAAATGTTAAAATTTGACAAATATTCAAAGACGGAGGCAGTACATGCATTTTAATGTGTTCATTATTTTTTGGAGTACATTTCTGTTCAGTTAACTTAACTTTAAGACTTTTTTATTGGGTTTGTTGCGTGAATTTTAGTACAAAATGTAATAAACTAACGGAGTGACGAAGTGAGACTTTTGTATGTAATTCGATAGAAGGTGAATTATATAATTTTTGAACTTCTTTTTATCAATTCAAGATAAATTTGTCTTGATTACTACGTATTAATTTTGTTTATATATTGATTTTAATAATGATGGACGGGAACAAAATTATAAAAAAGAAAAGGAAGAAGTGACGAAGTGAGACTTTTATAGTAATTCGATAGAAGGTGAATTATTTTGCGAATTCTACAAATAGTTCAATTATTTTGGGCAAAATAGCAAAACAAGAGAATTTCTAACTTATTATTCTGTTCACTTCTTTCTGTCAAGAGTGTAATGGTGACCTAAAGTACGTAACAACTTAAAAAGTTAAAATTATTTCATGTCACATTGAAAAACTGAATTATATTTAAAATATTGCAAAAAAGTGAGATAATTTCCTATATAACAAGTGCCTACATGCAACATTGAATAGAGAGTATTTGTATTGTCTTCAAATATTTTTGTAAAAGTACTTACTCTCAAGAGATATTTGCATTGTTTTTAATTGTTAAATTTCTTTTTTATTTATAATTAGATTAATGTTCGTTTGAATTGAATAAATATGATGTCTCGTTCATAAAATTCATGATTTTTACCCTTTCACTCCCAAATCCTGATACCCCTTTTATCCCTCCCTTCTAAGGGATAAACACCATTGCTTTTATATCTCAATAATTTTTATTACAATTTTTATCTTTCTCATATCTCGATAATTTTTATTTATATATGTGTTTTATTACTTATTTCATAAAATAAAATATTTTTATTATCAATCTCGTTTTTGAGGGAAATAACCATGGCCTTTAATTTGAGAGGAGTACGTGAGTAGTATGAGTTGGAAGGCAATATAGCACATCGATCAATGTATGTAGGTGGGTTATGACAATCGTAAGTATTTAAACTCAGCACAACAAGAGAACATGACCAATGGAATATGAAATGATTTTTCTGGTCCAAAATCATTGGCTTAATCATTATTCAGCCTCTTGAAAGTGTCTTTCTAACCACTTTTCCACAATATCTTGCATTTGTTAAGAGGATTAAGCTATGTGTACCCCAATATTTATACCCCAATTTGTACCCCGCAGGTTTGCATCAACATTTTGTGTTGGTGTAAAACTAATTTTTGTTAACGCATCAATATTTGTGTCCGTGTAAATTTTTATTAACGCGCCAATACTTGTGTCGGTATAAACCATCAAAATGTTTGTGCAAAACTATGGTGTACAAGTGGGGTACATTTTTTGGTGTGAGTGTAGCATGGTCCAATCCTTGTTAAGAATAAGCCACATCTGTTTCTTAAGAATGAGCCAGATCCGTGTGGACTCTTTCAGATCCGACTGAGCAATCACTGAGAATAAGTAAATTAAACTTTAATAGTAGATTGATGTTTATAAGTGGAGCATACACCTGATACAGGCGCTCTATGCTTAGCTTAGTTGCCTCACAGCGTAATTGTCAGGAACGAAACTTGGGTCTTACTCTTTTGACACTCTTTGTCTTGCTAACTACGCAACACTAAATGTCAAGGTTTTTAAAATTAAACAAAAAAGTTATATTGAGTAACTTGCATGACATGTGTTTATAAAACAAACAAAAAAATAATCATACTTGAATAGATATCCACTCGAAATATGAATAGTCAATGCTAATCAAGAATCTTAGATTAAAATAATATTAAGGATCATGCTAGGTGTACACTATTTTGTACACCATAATTTACTTAACACTTTGATGTTTACACTAGCACAAAATACCAATGTAAAAATTTTGCAATCAAATTTCATATTTTGTACAGGTGTGAGCGCTCAAAGTGCTAATACAAAACTGTAGTAAATAAAATGATGTACCATAGTAGTGTTTTGAGACCAAATGTCATTCTACGACTCAAGCTCTAATTGAGACACCTACGGTGCTACATTCAAAAATTGACGATTCTTATCCCTCCTAACCCCGGTTCAAATCCACACCCCACCATCTACAATTGCACCCGGAAGAGAATGGCAGCTGGGTGGCTCACATATGGGGCCTGTGTTTATGGATGACACCCCTATGATGAGTTATGAAAAGGCCTTATGTTGGTGGCCCAATGTCTTCAACTATGATCCCCCAATAAAGTAAAAAGGAATTTTACCTTGTCCCAGTTCTGCCTCTTATATTTTATAGGGTAAGTTTTTTTTAAATAGGTGCTAGTTTATTTTATAATCATCTATTTTAAACTGTTTTCTTTGTGACCTTTTATATTTGGAATCACTATATAATTCGTTTCTTTGGAGGAAACTTTTCAAAAGAATATTTTTTTAGCTCAAAAGAATTGACTATGAAATGATTTCAAATATCGAGCACTAAGAAGTAAGAAGAGAATATTTTGAAATAGAAGATTATATTGAAAAACACTTTAGTTATAGAGAATTATTTCGGAACTCAGTGTAATTTATAATCATAAATTTCAATAATTTGTCTATGTTTAATATTCAATACATAAAACATGATAAAAGTAATTAAAATTTCATTGAGTTGTCTTTTGGCTTGAGTGGCAGGATAATTACTACTTAAAATCTTTGTGAGATGCTCATTCACCCAAATTGTGATAATAATTATTACTTCTCCGTTCCCAAATATTTGTTCAATTTTAAATTTTTTCAGTCAATCATTTTCAACTTTTGACCTATAATTAAATAAAATACATATTGTATATTAATTGGATAAAATAGTATTTTGAAAATATTTTATTTAATAAATCTAATAAAACTATTTTTATATCAATATCTAATATTATTTTTATTTAATTTTGGAGTTAAAATTTACGAATTTTGATCGAAAAAGTAAAAAATGAATGGATGGTGTAGGGTCATCCATAAAGTCGTTGGGTCAAGCTTTATATGGTGTAGTGATGATTGAATTGATTAATGGATTATGGATGGTGTAGGGTCATTTGTAGTTTGTATGGCAATCATTTTTTAGGCTGATTTTGATTATCTCTTACGGAGTATTTATAAGTATTTATATACATCTCCCCTCCTGAATTTATGGTCTCAGTTTGATTTTACAAACTTTTAAGAAAAGTTTTGAAAACTAAATGTGAGTTGTTAAAATTGTTAAAAAGAAATAAAAATTATTAGCAAACTTTTTACTTTATTTAGAGAGCAAAAAAATGAGACAATTTTTTAGAGTAGACTCAAAAAAGAAAGTGAGCCGCTTGATTTCTCTTCCTCTTTTAAACCAAATACAAAATCATTCACTTAATACTCCATCTGCCCCAAATTCATAGCCCACATTTGTTTCGGTACAACGAAAAGTAGAAAGAGATCTAATTATCTTTTTAGGGACGTCTCAAAAAGAAAATGAGGGCTATTAATTTGAGACAGTATAATATACTGAATGTAATTTGCTTAAAAATTATTATGATGTTGGATGGACTTGAAAACAATGCTATTCTTCTCCTCTTTGATCTCAAATAAAGAAAAAAAGTTTTGAATGACAGACTCCAGTAGTAGTAGTAGTAGGAGTAGGGAGTGGTAAAAATTTCTTCAGGCATTGGCTGTTTGGTTTTCCAAACGCCCAATGTTTTCTTCAAACAATTCCAGTTCCTGCATTAGGGCAGTCAGCTTTGACATGTTCTCTTCATGAATCTTGGGAGGAACTTTCTCTTTATAACCAGAAGCACTCATCTTCTTCGACAGATTGTCGTGTTGCCTGCAAATATATGTACAATAATCGACAATAAGCCCATTTCTTTCCAGATAAATCTGTGTGTGTGTGTGTGTGTGTGTGAGAGAGAGAGAGAGAGCATCAAGGCACCTTTTGGTTTCTTCCATCTTTTTCTTGAGCCTCTCAAGCTCAGCCTCTGGATTACCACTGGAAGTTGTTTTTTCTTCTAGGAATACAGTTAGAGATTCGTCCAAAACCTCTGTAAACCATCCAGTTGGTGCATCTTCAATATCACACGAGACCTAGGGTGGGTGGTGGGTTTGTGTTAGAAGAACCGTGGCAATTTTTAAATATTAAAAGAAAATGCTAAAGTCGCTCCAATAATCATATAATAATAACATTTTAATAAATATTCTTCTCCTTGAGGATGTTGTCGCTTTGCCAAACACATTACCTTTAATGATGACAAAGTAGCGAGTGTAGAGATCTCTAACTCACGGCTTTTTACTATTTCTACAATTTCAGCAGTCCGGCACAGCACAAAAGCTGCACGCCTGGAGATGAACAAAAAACATTGCATTACTTATATGATAATACCAATACTTTCAATTGGGGCATAACTAAGCGGGCAGAAAACAAAAAAAAAATAAAAAAAATGAGAAAACCATCTGAATATTTTACCTTTCAAATCTTTCCTTCGGAGGCAACAATGCCCTCTTTGACCGTAGCCCTTTTACTACAGATGTTACCATTTCCATCTCATCTTCAACTGTATCATTAGCCCAGCCCTGCATAAGAAAAAGTGTATATTAATGTATCATTTATGAATCATGAAGATCCAATTGGCATAGAAAAATGCACTACTCCCTGCATCCCTTAAAAAAGAGCCAGACCTTTCTCAACATAGTATTGTCATATAAGAAGACTCAAATTAAAAGAAAAGATGTTAATTTTGATCATATCAAATGTTTTTAAATACAAACAAGGTATGCCAAAAAAGTTACGTATACTAGGTTTAGTTAAGGTAACAATACTAACAAATAAATTTGAAAATATAACTATGTTCGATGATTTCCACTAGTTATACCTCACCAAAATTTAAAAGTTGTACATTGGATAAATAGGACTCTTTTCATGTAATGCAGGGAGTAAAAAGTAAATCGGAAATACAGTATAAACATATCATGTATATTACCATTTTCCATTTCAGGACAAGTGTTTTAAATGCTACTTCTAATACACATTCTAACAAGCATGCAAAATGTATTGAGTTGAAGCAACTACATTTGTGCTGTCACTAACCAATATAAGAACTGTGTGAAGAAGAATCTGTAGGGACATAATGGGGGCATTTGTGGGATCACACAGGGTTGTTGTCGTGTTCATGAAACTATTGGCCATCCAATTTAAAAACTTTTTTGTGCATCATCACGTGTTTGCATTAATTTATCGCGTCACTAAAGTTAAAGACTAACTTAATAGATGCCAGAAATTAACTTAGGAGGATTAAGGTGCTGATGATATATGATGAAAGGGAAATACATTGGTTAAGAAAAATACTTAAAATAATTGCACAATTCATCTTTGATGTTAGAAAAAAATACAGCCATGCACTGGTTGTCAGAGTAAACAAAAGTAAGCATTCAATGGGGTTTTGTTTAATTGTATGAATATTGGATATTGGGGTTGAATTTTTTTTGTGGGGTGGGGGTTTGCTGTCAAGTCACTCAAGTGTCAACCAGGTGTAAAGAAATGCAGAGAGATCTCACCTCAACAGTTGAAGGATATTCGCTAATAACTATAGATTCTTTCTTGGAACAATCTCTCCTAGACGGAAGACGCTGCCAAAGTTCTTCCGTGACGAATGGCATGAACGGATGAAGTAACCGTAACCCATTATCCAAGCACAACCACAATGCATCTTGCGCAGATCTTCTTGCAGATGCAAATGATGGGTCTTCATTCGCAAAATATGGCTTGATAACTTCGATGAAGATGTCGCATAATTGGAATTGCCACCACGAATACACTGATGTTGCAGCATCAGAGAATTCAGAGGATTCTAGAGCAGTCACGGTCCTCAATATGGCCTTATTTAGTGCTGAGAGTATCCATTGGCAGCTAAAAGGAATGGTCTGTGGGACTATTTCGGCTGGAGGTATATAATCATCTCCTAGTTTGCTCATGGCAAAGCGAATCGCATTCCACAGCTTATTACACCATTGACGATACCCCACCACCCTCTGGATATCCAGATTGATTTTATCTGACTGGAAAAAAAGAGAGGCAAATGCTTAATAACAAAAAAAAAGAACATGCAGACACTGGAAGGAAATTTGGACAATACGGGATTGGAGTTATACACACCTGAGAAGTGTATGAAATAAGGGCAAAGCGAAGAGCATCTGCACCACATTCCGGGATACCAGTAGGAAAATCCTTTTTCTGTCCTTCTTTAGCAGTTTTCAACTCCAATGGATCCAAGTTTCCTTCCTCTAGTCTCTTATGAAGATTGTCAAGAGTTATACCATTAATCACCTCAAGTGGATCAATGACATTTCCTAGAGACTTGGACATCTTACGCCCATGGGCATCCCGAACCATGGGATGCAAATATACCTTCAACATTACATTGAATTCACAAGTCATATATACATGCATACATGTGTGTGTGCATACATAGTATATGTGTAGCATATGTGTGCATGTGCATGTGCATGTGTGTAAAACCTTTTGGCTAAGATCGAGTGTGGGTTTCATTTGTGATATGTGGGCCAGTGGTCCACACGATATAAAGGGCATGTTCTTTTTGTTTTAATTTAGACTAGAATCAGGAGATTGGAAGCATAACTGGAGTTAAAAGTTCAAAAGAATAGGCCCTGACTATATATTTAAGGCATGCTATCTGGGCTTCCATGTGTCACCTTGGATTCACATTACTGCCTTGACCTGACACATCCAACCAAGAAAGAAAATTACCTTTGTAAAAGGCACATCACCTCCCAGCTTGATTCCCAACATCACCATGCGAGCCACCCAGAAAAAAAGAATATCGTGTCCAGTTTCAAGAAAAGAGGTAGGATAAAATGTCTTTAAGTCCTCAGTATCATCAGGCCATCCCAGTACAGATAGTGGGAAAAGACCAGAAGAAAACCAAGTGTCAAGTACATCAGGATCTTGAGAGATCTCAAACTTCTGGCCAAATTTTTTGTGAGCCAACTCGTGGGCCTCAGATTCATTTCTAGCAACCACCCAATGGTCATCATATATACCGAATTCATGTTGATCGTCCTCCTCTAGTGTCACATACCACGCAGGAATGCGGTGACCCCACCAAAGCTGCCTTGAAATGCACCAGTCACGGATATTGTCGAGCCATCTGTAATATTTTCATAAATAAAACTTTAGCCTTGAGGCAGTGCATCCAAGAGAAATGCTACAGACTACATAAGATTTAGGGATCTAGTGTCCTTCACTCATCAGCCATTTTGATCTTTTTCCCTTATTTGAAATGAATAAACCCTGAATTAATGTAAGTATGTATAAACTTATAATATCTATGTGTACTACGTGTCATATAGAAATCTTCCACACTCTCCGCGCTGTCACTAATCTTCCCTTTAGTTTCCAAGGAACATTTTAATTTCCTAAGCAGTCACAATACATTTCCAAGAACAATACATTTAAAGACAAGTTTGCATATTTCCTATATATAGTGAAGACATGCTAGTATAATTCAAGTAAGAACAAAAATATTGCTCGAATGATATGACTGGGCATACATTTATGAATAGTTGGGCCACTGATTATGCATAATTTAATACTCCCTCTATCCCTAAATAAATTTTACTTTCATTATACACGGGTCAAACCATATCATCTTACTTATATACTTTAATCATTTGTTTAAATAACATAATCATGTCACATTTTGTTTTGAAATATGTAAGTTTTAGTATTGTTAAATTTTACACCAATATTCAAATAAATTGATATGAAAATAACTACAGACAAGTATCACAAGACAGATGACAATCATCAGAAGTATTTTGTAGGGAGTACAATAATACAGTTATCATGTTAAAGCAGTTAATAAATTGCAGCACCATAAGACAAACGACAACCATCAAGAGCATCGACTAGCATGCAATTTGCGAGTACATTCATCCAAGATATAGTAGTCTCAATGAAGGCATTATAAACAGCATTTACGAGTTATATAGGTGGGGGATGGGGGGGTTATGTGCACTGTTTCTGATATTCACCTTTTCCAGTCGGCAGCATATTGCTTGGGAATAATCTCCATTTTTCTATTATTCTCATCCATGACAACATCAAGTGCCTGCTTTGCCATAACTTTGCAGTCAACAAACCACTGAGGTTTGACTAGGGGCTCTACTATATCGTTACTTCTTGAACAAATACCAAGGCGCATTTCGTTGTTTTTAGAATCTCTATAGAGTCCCTGTATCAGCAAAACATAGAACAGTATGTTTCAGATATGTCTAGAATCTAACAAATAAAAATCAAAACTTTCATAGCAACATTATAAAACAGACCACACCTTCAAGTTAAAAAATTGCATACTTGCAATGCAGGTTCACCACAAGAACAGAAAACAATGTTGATTGTGGTTTCGATCAAAGAAAACATAGGAATTTTTTTGACTCACAAATCACAATATAACAATAGTTAGTGATCTGGATATGTTGGGTTTGTTGTACACTAAAACAATTTGAGCCTCTCTATTTTTCAAGATGGGGAAACGTCGACGTACACACACCCTCCCCAAACCCCATTGAATAGGATTTAACTGAGTTTGTTGCTGTAATATAATTACATAACAATATTAAATGATTTGGATAAACACTCGCGCACACACATACACATGTATATATAGGACATACCTTTGCCTTTAACGCTTCAGTCACAGCGGTACGTGCTTTAAAACGAGGCATCCCTTCAAAATCTGGACCACCATTGCTATTTATTTTACCATCATCAGTTAAAATGTTAATGAGTTCAAGATTGTGACGCCTCCCAACCTCAAAATCATTTGGATCGTGTGCTGGAGTTATCTACATAGATGTCCATGGCAACCCATCAATACTGAAATAAAAGGAGGGTATGAAACATATCATGCCATTATTTTGGTAAAGAGAATCTAAGATGCACCTTGACAGCACCAGTCCCAAAGCTCATATCTACAAGTATTTCATCACAAACAATTGGGAGTTTTCTTCCATTAAATGGATGAATAGCAGATTTTCCATGAAGATGCAAGTATCTTTTGTCTTCAGGATGTATAGCAATAGCAGTATCACCAAGCATTGTTTCAATCCTAGTGGTGGCCACAATAATCTCACCAAGCCCTCCTTCTAAAGGATAAGCAAATGAGGTAAGAACTCCAAACTCCACAGGTTCTTCATATGTAGGAACCTTGAGCAATGTTCTTTCTTTCACATCTATATAATCAACCTACAAATACCAAGAAAATTCATTTTTTAAAATATACGAGTAATACGTAGTATATGAATAACGATCTAAGGGTTGACAGGTAAGGGCTTACTTCAATGTCAGATATTGCAGTCCGCAGAACACAATCCCAATGCACCATACGTGGAGCCCTTTGTTGAAAAAAGTAAATAGTTATTTAAATTTATTAAACTAAAAACGAAAAATGAGATCAATGTTCAAGAGAATGTACTGTGAATGAGAATGATAAAGTTTACGATAACTATTATGAATGCCTATAAAAAGACTCACACTAATTCACTTCCAATGACACATAGTGCTACTATGTTGTTCCACAAATTTGTACACACAAACTATATGTCTATAACAGAAGGAAAAAAAGATCTTTTCCTAATCACACAAAAAGATATTGATTTTACTCTAAACAATATAAAACCCTAAATCTGCATACACGCAAAAAAAACCATTACAAATGGGGAAAATTTTCTTCTTAGTAACCCTTTCATCTCATGATTAACTTCACAGTTCACACTATGTGGAACGTCAGTAATGTTACTTGATAAGAACAAAAACAAGAAGAGACAAGAAGAGATGGAGATAGTAGATGGGATGGAGAGAGAAAAGGGAACATATAATATTTAAATAGAAAAAGCTCACCTAAAAGGAATAATAGTAAGCACAAAGTTTAATTTGATACTACTATTACTATATCACAATAGCTTAAACAAAAATAACCAACACGATTTTAAAATTACTCCCTCCATCCCATTGTATTCCTTCAATTTCCTTTTGAAGTCATACTCCACATTACTTGTCTATTTGACTCTTTTGCCCCATTCTTATTATTCATTTTACTCCTTATAACTGCTACCCTAAAAGTAAAGTAAGAATATCGTGGTCTAGTTGTACTCTTTGCTCTCCCTCCACGTGCAAAAAGCAATGTGGACAAAAACAATGGAAAGGAAGTAGTAACTGACTAACTCACACTAAAGTCTATATAGGGCACTCTTTTATTCTCTATCAAATAGAGGCTTAGGAAACTTTAAGATGTAAGCCACATTTATGTCAACTAATGTGTAATGGGGGTTTTCTTTGCACCTTAGCACCTCAGAGGCACAAGTCTGGACTCTGGGTTAACTTGTAAAACGTGTGTCTGTGTGTGTTAGCCCTCTCAAATGCTTATAAAATTGAAGGTAGAAGTTAAACTAATGTACTGATCCTAGTGATGAGAAACATGCATACCTGTAGATAAGACCTTCGTTGGATAGCCTAACAAATGCTTCAGTAACAGCTTTGGATCTTTTTTCATCCATGGTAAAGCTCTGCATCGGTATGGCAGTTTAGAAATCAAGTAAATGCCGATGATGGTCTAGGGAGTAATCAACTATAGGCAAACCTCAAACTGTTGAAACTGAACACATTAGATATTACCTCACGGGACCAATCAAGTGATGCACCCAAGCGCCGAAGTTGTTTCAATATTGTGCCCCCGTATTCATCTTTCCATTTCCATACCTATCAAAAAAACAATAAATAAATGGAGAGGCAAAAGGTTCTCTACTACTTCATCCGTCCTAAATTAAAAGTCCAATTCGACCAAACACATAGTTTAAAAAAATGTTGAAAAGTGAAAAATGTGGTTAAAATTGAATTGAAAGAGAGAAGGAATGGGTATTTAGTTTGGGACGGACCAATAAGGAAAGCGTGTTTGTTTTGGGATGAATGGAGTAAATAATAATAATAATAATAATAATAATAATAATAATAATAATAATAATACAGTAATAAGAATACAGTAATAATATCATCTCTCAGTAGACTTTATAATAAATAGATGTGGAAATGGAAGCAATTAAGTTTAAAAAATGTACTCAAAGACATCATTAACTGGCTCTTCTTCTTTTGACAAGTTACACAGCAATGTTAGGTATGTATTTATATATTTATAATAACATAAATATATACATGCATGTAATAGTTCATTCCTGTAGAATTTAGTATAACAACATTGCTATAAAGGCCTGGATAGTTCATACTCACTTCCGACACAAACTTTTCACGGCCAATATCATGCCTAGTCAGATTCCTTTCCCGCATGATCTTCTTCTCCACCACCACCTATGTTCACATTTACACAATAAGGTTAGCGAAACAAAATCATGGATGGAAATTTTAAATAAGCACATGCTAAACTAAGAAGTTAGCATCACAAGATATATGCGAGAAATCTCAGAATGCATGCAAAAAAGTTCCTTTGGTACAGAATAGTAACTTTTAAAAAAAAAACCTAGCCCGGACAATCCACATATTAACACTATGTTTCATGAACCACTTAAGCTAACAAGCTTGCTACAATACATGTACTGCCACAAAACATCACTACCCAAGCTGACAACTGTATCATTACAACTAACAGATAGATTAGTGACGATTTTTGTTTCCATTTTCTGGCAAAACATTTTATCTAGTTTTATTTCATCCAAGGCAATTTAAATTTCATTTTCTAGCAAGACACGATATCCAGGCCTAACGGAACCAGCCTCTATTGGGGGAAGGGGAGGTTGCATACATCTTGACCCCCATACTCCAACAAAATTGGAATTATAATTGGTTTGGTGTTGTTGTACTAATTAACGTGTGCAAGAATAAGCAATAACAATAATTAGAAATTACCTGTGTTGCAATTCCAGCATGGTCCATTCCTGGGACCCACAAAGTATTGTAACCAGACATCCTACGCCATCTAATTATCATATCCTTTAATGAAAAATAACAGTCAAAAATCAAAATTGAAAATTCTCCAATACAGGAACTACGCAAAAGATAAACTTTCAACACTTCAGGCATGTATGTTAACAAGGTACCTCAATTGAAGCTGTCAAGGCATGGCCAATATGTAGTGCACCAGTGACATTGGGTGGTGGCAAAACCTGCAGTCAAGCCAGAGGAAAACAAGCATTCAGTTTTGAGTGACTTTACAGAGAAAAACAAAGAGTGATTGAAGCAAAGCCAAACATTAGACCCAACTTGCCAAGCAGAAACTGGAACTCTTTTCTTTCAAATAGGACTCTCATGTGAACAATGTAAAGCACTGCTTCCATAATAAAATTTATGTAACACATCAGGTTACTTTCCCACTTTTCATTCATGCGTGCGCGCACTTCCAGTGACATCATGTTTACTCACATGTCATGTTTCAGAATTCATATTTAAATCTTCATTTGATCAACATGTCATGGTTTAATCTACACTACAAATGCACTTGCCTAAATCCCACATTTTATCTTTTAATTAATGTTCAGCACTAAGAAAATCACCGTTTCGAGGTAATGTCACCATGGCCTACTAGATGGACACTTGAGTGTCTTTTTAAAATGTTAATTTAAGCACGATGCTAACAGACATAGAAACAAGAAAGACATCAAGATAAGAAGAACTTACAATTACAAAAGGTGGTTTAGTGCTTTTAGAGTCAGCCTCAAAGAATTTTGATTTTTCCCACCAATCATACCAACTACAACAATAATTGCCAAGTATGAGAGATGCAAATCAATAATGACAAGAAAGAGTATTAACAGTATGAAAGTATTATTCAAACTTAAACATGCAATAAAGAGAAATGGTAACAAAATCATGATATGCAAACTCACAATTTCTCAACAGCGCTAGGATTGTATGCCTTTGCCATTTGGGTGGAAAGTTTTTTCTTGTGTCCCAAGGGTGTTTCCGGATCAACAAAATCCTCAGGGTTCTCCTCTATGCCATCTCTTTTTGAGCTTTTTTTCTTAGATATCTTTGGAGCTGAGGAGGCTTGTAGTGCCTTCAGCACAGATTGAAAGAGTAAATAACAAGAATCCCAGTGTCTTCAACACACACACACACACACAGTGATAAATGGAAACGGGTATGGAAAAGCTTGCCTGCATTTTAGCTGCTTCTGCCTTTTGTGCAGCCTTGAGTTTTTTCAGTTCCTTTTCTCTAGCCTAAACAATGAAAATAATCCCGCCACAGTCATTAGAGTAAAGGTACACTACACTAAAGAAGCAAATACTCCATCTGTCCCAGAGTGAATTACACTGAACAAAGTATACAATCAATCAAAACAGACAAGTAAACCAAATTTGTTGCAATTCATTGGGGGACGGAGGGAGTACAAAGATGATTGTGGATCTAACATGACCAACCATCTGAAGCTACCAAGTTTCAATTTTTTTTAACATCCAGGTAAAATTCAAGTTTCCCAGTATATCTCAAATAAGAAATGGCACAAAGGTCAGCTTTCAATGACGAAAATTCGTAGTACTTATTAGGAAGAACAAGATGAAAATCTATTCGGGAAGCAGGGGATTGAAGAAAGCAGTGAACATAATCCAGAAATGTGGGTGCTCGAACCTTTTCCTCTTTCTTCTTCTTCTTCTCTAACTCTTCCGGCGTCATGGGTTCCATCGGACGCTCTGTGGAGAAGCTGCAGGATAAAGTTCGCCTGGCGGAGAGTCGGATAGGAGGATGAGGAAACGCCTGGGAGACGACGGCTAAAATACGTCCGGTCGCCGTCGGGAAAATGGAGTGAAGTTAAGGAGTGGAGTTTTTTAGCCAGGGCGACTCAAGACTTTGAGCGTGGGCCTTGTTTTATAGAAGATGATCTCTAAAGTCTAAAGTTTTAAAACAAAAAAGAAAGAAAAAAAAGGTGGTACTTAATATAAAAAATTGTTATTTTAATCCTTTAAAAAAATTAATTTTAATTGCATTTTTAATTTATTATAAAAACTAATGTATCACATATTTCAAGTACGTTTATTTAAATTTAATAATAAATATTTTCATAACAATAATAATTTATTAAAATTTAAAAATTATTTCACAGTGAATGTGAATTTCTTAACACATGTTACTTGATAACTTAAATATCCTATAATATTGTTCATTTTATTTTAGATTTCTACGAGGACGGAGTATTAGTCTTTCATTCAATTTGTTGGATTTTTCCACCGCAGACATCAAGAATATAGAATCAAATTTAGCATAATAAAGATGATGATGATGATAATGATAATACATCACGATTCTTTTGACCTTGCTTAATTTGATATTCACTTGATCTGGACACCTACGGTACTCAATAAAATTGATGGTTGATTCCCCCGCCCCTAGATCACTAATTTGGACTTATGACTAGAGATCATCTTCACTCGATGTCTCGAGTAGATGAATATTCATAATTATCTTAGATTACAGAGTACTTATTCACAAAAGAAGTTGTTATCTCCTAAAACCCATTAAAAAGTGTTTCATAGTTTTCAGAATAGAACAACCGCATACAATTTATTATTTTCCAACCTTTTGAGAACAGTGAAGTGCAATCTTTTATTACTCCCTCCGTCCCAATTTATAATGCATGTTTACTATTCATAGGGTCAAACTTCATTCACTTTTTTTCTCAATTTTCGTTAGCAATTTGATAAAATAAAATATTGTTGTCACTACTAGTTTTGTAGATCTTTTGATGTAGTATTTTGATATGTAATTTTTATTTTTTAATTCTATACCATTTGTCATATAAAATGATTTGAAAATAACTTCAGTCAAACATCGTAAACCGAAACAGGCGTTATAAAATGGGACGGAGGGAGNTTTACTATTCATAGGGTCAAACTTCATTCACTTTTTTTCTCAATTTTCGTTAGCAATTTGATAAAATAAAATATTGTTGTCACTACTAGTTTTGTAGATCTTTTGATGTAGTATTTTGATATGTAATTTTTATTTTTTAATTCTATACCATTTGTCATATAAAATGATTTGAAAATAACTTCAGTCAAACATCGTAAACCGAAACAGGCGTTATAAAATGGGACGGAGGGAGTACTAAAGCTTTAAAATAAAAAAAAAGATGTACTCCGTAACAAGTAACAACCTCTTAATGCGTTTGTGTGCCCTTTTTTTCCCTTGTTTACTGAAAATGCTACTCACCTCTCAAGGGCATATATATCTTAACCATGGCAGCTCTCCTTTTCTTTGTTCACATTTACAGTTTTTAAAAGTTAAAACAAATGCTCCAATATTTTTTTGTCACTTAGGATAATAAAGTTGGAGTAAAATACTACGTAGTAAAACTATACTGTTTTCTACTCCGTATTTTAACCTACACAAAAGAAAAAAATAACTTAATTCGATAAAAGGTGATTCATTTCACAAATGACTTTGTAATTAGTAAATGAAACAATTCAAAAAAGAACATGATAGGAAAGTTTTTTTCCAAAGGCTAACATTATATTTAAAAAAATTAAAGTCTAAATGTTGGGGACAGAGAATAGATGGGCTCAATTCTAACAAGGTCTAAATCTAGTATAATGCTAGTAAAACAGAGCAAAGAATTTAGCATCCAAACCTATGATAAATTCCAACACTGACCAGTAGCAGAGGATTGAAAGCACACCAAACAAAATACAAATGGTTTGGTTAAGTTTGGTTTGGTTTGGTTTGGAAGAAGAAACATTTAATTTGCAGAATACTACTCCCTAGTCCCTACTAAAAATATACAAAAGCATATTGCATATTTGCATGAAGAAGAACTAATTCGCCCTATGAAACCATTACCCCACTAATATCATCATCTTCATCGCCTTCTAGGAGCAGTTACTCCGCCAACTCAAGATTCCGCAAATCGCTTCTCCTGTATGATCTGCCCCAGCTTTGTGAACAGGGTCAGCTGATCCTCAAATGGCAGGTTCATCAATATCTAACCATGCAGCAAAATGAAGAGAAAGTCAAAAGTTAATCATTTCCCACGTAACGTTCTCCGTGACAAGTATCATGCAATAAGAGTAGAAAATTTTGGTTGACATGGTTAATTTTGACCAAAAATAGAACATAACAAGATTCAGGTGCTGAGGCGTTCTCATAAAAGACTTGCTAGTTGCGGAAACATTTCCCATTTACCTGATTCAATATCATCTCCACCGATAAGTTCTGAGGGACCACAAAGGACTGATGATATATGTAGGCAAAAACAGCCATGACCATCTGCATAGAGACATGCATAATACAGTCAATTCAGAGGTCCAACAGCAGCAAAAAGGGATACTTGAAGCAACTTGATGATACGTCAAATTGAAAAGAACCCAATAAAAGAAAAGAGATGTTATGCCCAAATGACTGACACAAGCTATAATTACTTACATTCAAAAGTACAAACCACATTTGAGCATCAAGCATTTATAACCGTTTGAGTGGAGGGGAGTGCTATGGATTTCTAGGTCTTTATCTTGATATGTCCTCTCTATTAATCTATAAACACAATATTCCTTGAGATATATGCCAAAATTAACATGATTCTATTCACCTGGCAATCCATCCTATCCGTGATGCCTCCATGCCCAGGAATACTATCGCCAAAGTCCTACAAATAAAATGTAAAAAAAAAACAAGCCAAAAACAGAATAAATGAATGAATGAAAAACAAGAAATCAGCCATTTGCAAAAGATAAAGTTGAATAGGATAATATGGGCAATAGCAAAATATGAAACAATTATAAGCATGAAAGTGAACCTTGATTTTGAAGGCCCTTTTAAAGCCACTTGCAAAGAAGCCCCCAAATGGAGCGATGATTGATGCAAATAGGCCAAGACATAATGCATGCCATTGTACTGGCATTGCCACAATCTCTCTGGAAGGAAACTACAAAAAATAGATATTTATCAAGGATTCGAGGGTGTGTAATGTTATTTTTGTTTTCTATTTAGTATTTACAAGTTGCTACAACATATGTATTCAAACATCATGAATATGTACCCATTGAGGAATCCAATCTGGAAGAGTGTAATATTCCGGTTTGAACAAGGGGCCAGGATCACAATTAAGCCAGTCCATTGATAAATCCTGTGTTAAGTTTGAATACAGATGTAGAGTTCAATTTCTAGAAACAAAAAATAATAATAATTGTGTGACTCATTTATCTAAATAAGTCAGAGACTTTTATTCTAAAAGGTTACCGTTCTTGGGCATGTGAGCCATTGAAAACGACCAAACAAATTTGCAAGCTGCAGAGGAAAGTGAAGTGAGCATTACTAAAACCATCAAATAAGCATTAGCACAAATAGACCACATGTCATCACATGGATGTATGCCATTTTATCATGTCGTTTTCCATTTACAGCATCTGATTTGATTTTTAAAAAGTAAACAGTGGTCTGGGATGAATGAAAAATGTGACAATGAAAGTGATGAAAAAAACATGTCCTATAGTAGTGTAAAGAAAAAGATGGATTCTATAGTTATGAGATGGCAAAAAACTGCATACCAGAAAAGCAGAGATAATAGTAGTGACAGATGCTCCAATGAAACCCTCCCATGTTTTTTTAGGGGACAACTTGATCAAAGGAGTTCTTCCAAAGAAAAACCCAAACAAGTATGCAGCAATATCATTGACGACAATCAGCGACGCTGGTAGAAGGAACCTGCATCATAAAGAAACAAGTCTCAGATCTATATCTATTCCCAGCATTTTCTGACATACAGTCTGCAGCTGTTGATAGCAAAACTTTAAAGTTTAAACATAAGCTCCCTAAGCTAATGTCAAGAATATCAATTTAGCTCAAAACGTTTGTTCAAAACCTATGATAGGAAGGCAAAGACATTAGTTCAAAACTTTCAGGGTTAAGCTGCAGAGGAAACAGATCATAAACGTAAATGAAGGTTAACCTTTGCCGAGTTGGCAAGTGTGTTGAGGCAAAAGACCCTTGACCAAATGGTCAAGAGCTCAAACCTTAACAAAAGCAAGTTTGGTGAAGTATATCTTAGTTTTCATTTCTAAGAGTATCTCTGTTTGTTTGGGACATTGTACACTTGTATTTGGTTATAGACACTTACATTGGGCATGTTGACAAATTGTATTGGATATATGCATGGGCTCCAAAGTTCATTTTATTGCAACATGTAATATAGTACATAAAAAATCCTAAAAAATGTTCAGACTTCAGACGCATTTAACCAGAAGGGGAATCGACTGTTGGTAGCGTTACCACTTACCAGAATATTCCTTCGAATATGTTTGCCACTGTGAATGCGGACTGTGTGACCATCAAAATTATAATCATATGGGTCCATGCATACTGGCCAAACTGATATTTGTACATCTTCTTTTTCAGAGTAAGAATGAACCACATGAAACCTGTTTCCAATTGTAAGGAGTAGAAAACTTCAGTACCAACCCAATATACCAAATCTCATTGATGCAGTTGCATTGAGTAAACTTAATTTGTGCCATGGTAGTCAAACTCTAGATTCTACGTAGGATCGATAAGCATAATGAAGATCGTAACATCGTAAGATCGTGACTCGGATCGTAAGATCCTACTATATATATATATATATATATATATACACATATATATATATATATATACATAGATATATATATATATACATAGATATATATATATATATATATGTGTGTGTGTGTGTATATATATATATCTATGTATATATATATATATATATCTATGTATATATATATATATGTTTTATAAATATATGTTTTAATTAAATTTTAATAAAACATAATACAAGTTCAAGCATGAGAAGAAAAAAGCAGAAAGAGGAAAAAA